ACGGTGTTCACTTGAAAAGGAAGGAAGTGCCTGAGGTTAAGTGTGGAGGGTAATTGCTATATGAATTCTGACAGTAGGAGTGTGTTTTGACTTCCTCTCTTTTTTTATGATAAAGGAAGATACTTGGTTTTTTTTTTTAAGGCCACAGAAGTGCTCTTCTGTTGCTGCTGAATTATTCGTATGACGTTCGTGGCTCCTGAGCACCACAAAACCCAGGAACCATTTATAGCTTGGAATGTATCATCTGCTCATGAGTCATCAAGTTCTAATCAACACTAGTGCTGCCAGAGATAGAGAGCTGTTTCACTTCAGTCCCTGAACAAACAGCTGCCCTTCTTCTAGGTGATCTTTGGGGACAGGATAATAAGGAGGATGAGCAGAAGTTCTCTTTGCTTTTTCAAAAGGTAGTACTCGATGTCCTGTCACAGATGAAGTGTATCCTCCAAGGCAGGACTAGCCCTCAGGAAGTAGCAGGCATAATAGGCTGTTTTCACTTGGACTTCTGGCAGTACATGTACTGTTGTGAAGAATGCACAAAACCCCTGCTTCTGCAGGGTTGCTCTTGTCTGCTTCTTGACATGGCAGGTACCTTTGTCAGCTCAGAAATGGGGTGAGTACAAACCTGTGGATCATATCAGCAGGTTGCTGTTTAAAATTGACCTAGTCCTAAACTGCTTCCATATATCAGAAATTACAGGCACGTGAAGACTGGAGAGATTTCTGCCTTCAGGACTGAAAGATGGCATAGGCAGTCATAAGACTGGAGAGAGACCAGAGAAACACAACAGAAATTATGGGTGGATGGAGTTTTCATTTTTGAGCATAGAAAAATGTGATCTGTACTATATAACAGCACAACTGATTATGCCTAGCATATCTGGAACACTTTAAGACCAAAAGGAGAAGAACAAGAAGAAATAGCAAGCCAGTGAACCAGTTCTGGCAGGTTAGAGCAGACTAGAGCTGTAAGGAAGAGAATACTGAGGAAAGATTGCCAGCTAATGCAAAAGAGTTTGCAATTGTGATGGCTGTGGCCATTGCCTGGAAAACCCTGAGTATTTAGATGGAGAGTTTTGATGTTGTGCCTGCAGGAATCTTGTCTGATCGAACAGATTGCATGCCTCACTTGTTGGCAGTTCATGGGTTTGGTAGTCCTGGGGTAAGTTTTCTGTTCCCTGAAAAGGTGTCCTCTACACTGGCAGTGATGTGGTCTTCTGTCTTTATAGACAGATAGATAGATAGATAGATAGATAATGTTACTCTTCTCACTTTTGTTGAAAGTTATGCTAATCAGTTGCTAAGGCCATGCTGAAGTACTGCACTTGACTTCAAATAAAAAAGTCACTTGAGGTCACCTCTTCAGTAGTATTTGCAATTAGTTTTAATGCTGTTCTTTCCATCTAGAATTAATTTGTAAGCTATATTGGTTGCTGAAATTTGTCTGAGATGATGACTCTTGTTTAGATGAGTTACTGACATGATTTTGCCCAGGCTGTTGTGGGATGGCCTTCCTTCAGTCTTTTATGGCAAACTGCATTTTATTTCGGTAAGAAATGTTGAAATTAATTTTAAAATTGATTGAAATTCATTTTGGACATGACCTAGAATTGTACATGTGAGAACTAACAGGCTTTAATTTCTCCCATTGTGCACTGTGGGGGACACTGATGGAAGATGCAGCCATACCAACTCTACAGATTGTGCCACACCACACCACCTTTATAACAGACTTCTACGCAGGCAAACGGTGTGAGGAAAAAAACAAAGTGGTAGTAACTGCTTAACTATGTATTATCTTACAGGTGGGAACCAGCGTGAACTTGCCCGCCAAAAGAACCTGAAGAAAACTCAGGAGATCCACAAAGGCAAAAGGAAAGAGGATAGCTTGTCTGCTTCTCAGAGAAAACAGAGGTAAGATCTAGTAAAGTTGAGTGAAATGGTTGGGCAGAAAAGGAGGGGGAAATGAGTCAGAAATAATCCAGTGTCTTAGCTGAAACAGCATTTAAGTACTTTGCTTTGATTCGTGGTCCAGTCGTGTGCCAGAGCATAAACCATGGATGAAGTTTTGCTCTATCTGCTGTTAAACAGGTTTGGGTTTTTTTGTAAGTCTCATAAAGCTTTTCTTTCTTTTGAGCAGCTTTTTGCCTGGTACAAACAGGAAAAGATTGTGTAATGCTTTCTTGAAGATGTTTCATCCATTGTGTCCTTTACTTCTACAACTAAAAGAATTATATAAAGTCTACTAATCAAGTAACTTGTCTGCCTCATTGGATAATGCATGCACTGAAAAAACATGGGGTAATAAAAACAGTGTGCTTGTGGCTAACTGAGAAGTTTTATGCTAACCTTTTTCTCTTCTTGAAGAGGGGATTGCCAAAGGGCAAAAATAAGCTGGAGGAGACTCTGCTTAGAAAAACTGTGAGCCAGTATCTGATATCCAACTCTTTTTCTTCACAGAGACTCTGAAATCATGCAGCAAAAGCAAAAGGCGGCTAATGAAAGGAAGTCTCTGCAGGCAGGAGCAAAATGATCTGCCTCTATGGATAAGACAGAGTGCATCGGGGAAGCAGAAGGGCCTGGAAGATCAAAGATCATTCATAGAAGTGTCTGGCCATTAAATGATTAAAACATTTATTGTGCAGAGTTGTTCAACTAGCATTAGTGTAGAGTATTTTCTGGTTACCATAGGCTTAGTTCTCTGGAGTGCTGTTTCAAAACTGACTACACTCTTCTGCATGTGTATGAATAAAAGTACCAAGCAGTAGCTTTATTCCAGCTTTTGCTGCATTTGTTAGCTTTACTTAATGGTTCCAGTAACAGAATTTCTGAATCTGCAGTTAGACCAAATATGGTTGTCTCAGTTCTTGAAAGTACAGCTTCATTCAGAATGTGCGTAACTTTCAGAGGCCTGAACTGTAAATCTCATCTTAAAATATTTTTACAATAAAATGTTGCATGAAATACTGTCTAACCTGAAATGGTTATGCTTGATAGTCAGTTGATTTCCAAGAAGTTACCAAGAACACAAGGAATGAATAATATAGTGGAGAAATAGAGTACATTTATGTAAGTGTAATATAAATAAAGTTTTTAAGAATTGCATATTATAAGCAATATCACATGCAGTGTAAGTCTGCACTGTAGGCAAAGTTGCCTGTTGAATTTCAAACTCTCTTGGTGTACAAAACTGAAAGAATCTAGTGCTGGTATTAACTAAGGAAGCTGCAGGCTTGATATTAATGAATTGCAGTGTCAGCAGATCTTGAAATTGCTGCATCACTAAAATTATTTTAAATAGTACTTAAACCTGCCTCAGGAATAAAAGTTAGTGTGAGAAAACTCAGCACTTGCTTCACAGGCATGCTTGAGTGTATTGTGTGCTGACCAAGGGAGAACTGTCTAACCATCCAGCAGCCACTCTGGCAGTCACTTGCACCCCCTGAGCTGAGACCAAAGCCCCTTCACAGCTACACACCCCACACTCACACAGGTTTCCCACAGCAGAGTCTTGCAGCAAAGGTCCCTCACTCAGCACCCTTTTCAGCGAATGAATCCACGGGAGACTTTGTCCAGGCAGAGCTTTCTTGTAACTGTATTACTCCATTTATATACAGAATAAGGGTCTGAGCTATGAAGCCAGCCAGGTATTACTTACCTGCACACATGCCACACGAACATTCCCATGGCTGCCTTCAGCCACGGAGAACAACAGCCATGCTTCAAACAGCTTTCCAGCTTGACCTTGTGATTCTTTTTACATACTCACTAATCTTAGCTCTGGCTTGCTCATGACCACAATATTTTGCTTTAATATTTTCTTCTTCTATCATCCAGGTGGCTGGTGTTGTCTTGTTTAGCTGCTCCTACAGAGTCTCAGATGTCCTGGTCCTTAATATAACCTAATCTTGGTGCAATAACTAAATAACAAAACAACAGCTTGAACTGGTGCCTCTAAGGAAGGACTCTGAACAAGGGAAACCTTGGGCTTTTATACCCGCACAGTCTAAAGGTGGGAAAGTCTGGGGGTCCTCAACTCCTGCTGTGTCTCAGTGTCTGGTCACCTGGCTGGCCCACAGGTACCTGTGCAGTTCCTGGCTTCTTGCCTGGGGCTTTCACCACCCAGAGCTTAACCTGTAGCTCAACTGCAGCTGCACACTGTGCTAAATGTGCTCCTCAGCAACTGTTTTCAATCTCTAAAGAGAGAACTTTGTGGCCTTTGCTTGTGTCAGTTCTATCCTATAGTGCATTTGCTGCTTGTTAACAGGTCCCTGACACAGTTTGAGGAGAGCTGGAAGGAAAACGTAGCTGGTTCTGGCATCATAATACCTACAGCTGGTGAGAAAATAAGCAAGTTCACAGAATTATTAGGGTTGGAAGGGACCTCTGGGGATCATCCAGTCCAACGCCCCTGCCAAGGCAGCGTCACCTACAGCAGGTTACACAGGAATGTGTCCAGGTGGGATTTTAATGTCTCCAGAGAGGGAGACTCCATGACTTCCCTCGGCAGCCTGTTCCAGTGCTCTGCCACCCCCAGTGTAAAGAAGTTCTTCCTCATGTTGAGATAGAACTTCTTGTGGCTTAGTTTATGGCCTTTGCTCCTCGTCCTGTCACTGGGCACCACCAAAAAGAGTTTGGCACCATCCTCTTGGCACCTGCCTTTGAGATACTTATATGCACTGAGATCCCCTCTCAGTCTCCTCTTCTCTGGGCTAAATAGGCCCAGCTCTCACAGTCTCTCCTAAGAGAGACGCTCCAGACCTCTGCTCATCCTTCTGCTCCTTCGCTGGACCCTCTCCAACCTCTCCTTGTCTTTCTCGCACTGGGGAGCCCAGCACCGCACACAGCAGCAATTCCTCTGCTGGCCGCTACTCGGTTCAGACCCGCGGCGGTGTGTGTCCCCGCCCCGTCCCCGTCCCCGTCCCCGTCCCCTCCCGGCGCGGGGGGGCGGCGGCGCATCCCGGCGGGCACCGCACACGGGAAGGGGCCGCGCCCGGCGCGGGGCCGGAACCGGGGCGCGTGCGCGTGCGCGGGGCGCGCGGCCATGGCGGACGCGGTGCTGTTCCGGCGCGGCACCGGCCAGGTGGGGAGCGCGGCGGGAGCGGGGGCGGGAGCGGGGCCGGGACACCGCGCTAACCGGTTCTGTGCCCTCCGCAGAGCGACGACTCGGACATCTGGGACGACACGGCCCTCATCAAGGCCTACGACAAGGCGGTGGCCTCCTTCAAGGTAAGGGGGTCGGCGCGGCCGTGGCCGCACCCTGGGGCTGAGGTCGGTGGATTGGCGTTTATTGTTTTCCTCCTTTCTCTTCCCGAAGAATGCCTTAAAGAATGGGGAGTGCTCGGAGCCTTCCGACAAGCAGGAGAAGTGCATGGTGATAAAGAGAAAAAACCATAAAAAGAACAGAAATAGAAAGAAGAGCAACACAGCGCCTTTGAAACAGGTCAGCTCGCCTGTACATGCCAGTCGTGCTTGTACTGCTTGTTCTACTTCTCTACGGTACTCAGAAGCAGCTTCTTCACCTTGGGAGTAACATTTTGGGGTGGGGGTGATAATTTATAAACCTTACTTATATGTTACATTGAGCAATTCCACTAAATACAAAAAACCCCACACTGTTGGTGGGTGTCACCTTTCTCGTGGCTGGAACAAAAAAATAATTTAGGAAAAGGCACCTTTTCTCTGATTGTTGGCGTAGGTATGGACACGCTTCTCTTGCTTCTGTTGCAGTGGAAAGTTGGTGACAGCTGCAGTGCTGTTTGGTCTGAGGATGGTAATTTGTACCTGGCAACTATTGCCTCCATCAACCAGAAGAGAGGCACGTGTGTTGTTACTTACACAGGATATGGGAATCAGGAGGAGCAGAACCTGTCTGATCTACTTCCTCCAGCCAGCGATGAAACAGTAAATGGGACGGGGAATTCTGGGGAGGTGAGGGACGCCTTTTAATTCTTTTGTAAAGGAAAGAGAAAACGGGACAATCAGCTTCTCTTAGTATGCCTGGTGGCACTGCTGAGACAGTGTTCAGAGAGAATCGATACATGATTCTGTTGTAAACAGACACAAGCTGATGGAAGGAATGAAAGTGTCCCTTTACTTCATGAACTCAGCATGGAAGAAAGGGAGGGGGCAACAAGAATTTCACCAGTGAAAGATAACATAGCTAAAATGGTGAGAAGATAAAGTTGTGAGATTATAAAATCATTCCTGAGTAGGACTGGGAGGGCTAGAGAGAGGGAAGGATGTGAATGGGACTTTCCAAGCCTTTTCACACTGTTAGCTGTGAACTCCTATTTAGTGCATTTCCTAAAAATTTCTTGATCTTCTAGAATGAAAATGAGACTCCATATTCAACAGATGAGAGTGAAAAATCTTCCCAGTCACCTCGAAACAAAACCAACTGCACAAAAGCAAGATTCTCCCCTCAAAACCTGCAATTTCCTACACCACCACCACCACCACCACCAGTCCCAGGCCTGGGAAGAGTAAGCTCAACCTTATCTGAAATAATTCACGTACCGCTGTTAAGCCTGGTATCGTAGTGAATACTGGGACTATAGCATTATATTTATAATTTTGTAGAATTCAGTTGACAGCATTTTGGAAGGGATGTACAGACATGCATGTTAGAATCTGTTGGTTTGCCATTTTGTGATAATCTGGCTACAGCGTAGCCCTTTTGCAGTGTTGCTGTCGAGTGAGGAAAGCCTTCTGCTGCCTAGGTAACACTTGCTTCACTGTTGCCATGTAACTTCGAAGAGGGAAGTTTTTTCCCTGGACTGTGCCAGTGCTTTTAATGATAGTGCTGTTGATGTTTTAATATTTCACTTTTTCTAGCCAATTGGTATGTTTCAACATGGGACTTTGAAGGCATCAAAACTGATGTCCACATGCCATAGAACCTTTAAGCTGTAGCTTCTCTACTGAATTATGAGGGAGGGGATATTGATACACCCTTAAATTCTCCTGTGGTGTAGGAGTCTTAAGTAATAGTGTAGTTGAACTCAGCATTATGTTTTCTAAATATTACTGTTTAGGCAAAATTTCTTTATAAGGTTTTATTTTATCTTTTTTCCTTCATATTAATAGATTTGTATCTAAGATCTTTTTTAAGACGTTCACCAGTGTAATGGAATTTAGTCAGCTTGTGCCCCCAGCCACACAGGAGCAGAGAAATTATCTGTTTGCCTGTGTGCACATTAGATATGTTTCTTTCTGTGAGAGTGCAATGACTGACTTCCATTTAGGAAAAACTTTTTAAAAATGGCTGTATTAACTAGAGCCCCGTTTCAGCCCTGTTTACCTCAGTGACACTTGTAATGCAAGCTGTGCTTTTCTAGTCATGGAATGTGCCACAGAAATAGCTACTGGGTGTATTTTCATTAAGTCGCTGGGGGTGTGTTGCCTTAAATTTAAGGCATGTGAATTGCTTCACATAATTCTCCTAAGTAAAATCCTAATACTCCAATTTCCTTTTTAATTTGTACTGCTCCATTTTTTTTTTTTCCATATAGCCTGGATCAAAATGCAAGACACCACCATCATTTTTATCTTGCTGGCCACCACCTTTCCCAGCAGGACCACCGGTAAGTGATGGGAGAATGAGGAAGAAAGGTGTTGGTGATCTCAGGTTTTCTCACTGAATGTGCTCACTGCCTGTGTTTTTAGAACACATTTGTTAGGGTCTGTATTTTTCACGTGTGAGCACATTCAGTTACAAATACTGCAATAATCTAACGCACAAGGTCTGATTTGCACTCTTTTTTGTGGCAGTGAAGCTGTTGGTAAGAATATCAAGGGGAAAATTATTTGAAGAAACTATACCTTAAATCAACAGGATTTCCCTGAAGCAGATAATATTTCCCCCTAATAACAATTTGTGTACAAGCTACAGGAATCCTGTTTCTCCCAGGCTATGGAAATTACAAATGTTCAGAAAACATCATCTTATTCGACTCCTTTTCAGAGAACACATCAAGGATATGTTCCTATTTTCCAGTTTTATGTTTTAACCTTTTAGAATTAGTTGCTCTCTAACCTGGGATACACCCTACTGAAACGAAGACATTTCCTTTGTGATTTCTTAGTTGATTCCTCCTCCACCACCTATGAGGCCAGACTCTCCTGAGGACGACGAAGCATTGGGGAGCATGTTGATAGCCTGGTACATGAGTGGATATCACACTGGATATTACCTGGTATGTGCCACTCTGGTTTTGAAGTGTCGTCATAATTCTGTGTTCCTGTTGCTGCTGCCGTTTGCAGCAAAAGGTTAGATAGGGAGGGGTGTTTTTTAGATCTCTTATACTAATCTACAATTTCTACATTTAAGGGTGTTTTGTATTGTGTAAGTATTGTTCTCACTGAGTAGGAGTCACATGAGTCAGCACATATGTATATATATATATATATGCATATATATATATATATATATAGTCAATGTTGTTGTAGTACTTTGTTCCACTGGAGGGGTTGGTTCCATGAGGTACTTTTATAACCACTGCCATATAGCCATTCTGAAACAACCAGTTCTGTTTCTGTAGGCACATGGAGTAAATATGTTTATTATTCAGTAGTCTTCTATGTATTTTCTTTGAGTATGAGCGGTAGTATCACGTTTAAGAACAGATCTGGCATTTTTGCGGAGACTTTTCGTCAGTAATTGTTTCATCCGGTTGTGGAGGCCCAGCAGAAGCTGTCAGCATAGTTGTGAAAATCTGTGACTTGTGTTACTGATTCATATTTTCCTCTGTACACTTATGAAGAAGGAAAATGATGTCAAGAGTTGCACTGAGGAAGCTGGAAAGGGAAGGTTTGATGCCATAGGATATCTTCAAACAGACTAGTTTTGGAATTTCGTGTTTCAGATTATAGGTAATTGTGGATTGCTTTAATCTACTTACAATTGAACAAGAAATACATATTTGAAATTATTCTGTAGAGCGGCTGATTATAAAGAACATTGTAGTTTGGCTTCTCTCCTTTTTTAAACTGCCTGTTCTGCTTTCCACAGAGAGCTAAGAGCTATTTGTGATTTGTGAAGGACCGAAAAAGATTGTTCGGAAATACTTTTGTTCTGCAACTAAAGTCTTTATTTCCATGTTAGCAAAACCGAGATTTTCCTAAATTGTATCCTGTAGGGTTTAAAACAAAGTCGAATGGAAGCAGCACTGGAGAGACAGACGCATGCGAAATGACTGAATGTCATCGTTGTTCTGAGGGATTGTAAGTATCACAGCTTCGCGGTAAATGAAAATCCCGTGAGCTTTGGGACCTCCATCTGCTCTTACAGCTCTCTACAAAGACTGCTTCTGCCAGTGTTAATCCCTTCTTTGCTTAGCAGCTGTGGAATAGTAGTTTCTCAGCTAAAATGAAGGAAAGTATTTACTGCTCTGATGATAGTTTTAACTACAGGATCTCTCTTCATCAGGATTAACAGTACATCTTATTTGAATTATTAATAGTTAGTAGTGGGCTGTTTTGGAAACAAAGGGTTGTAAGTGAAATGCAGTTTTTTCATCTGTGTTTCCTTACAAGGAGACGTGTAGCTAAACTGTTTTCAGGACAAGATCAACATTTCAGTTTGATATTATTGAGCAGTTCTCATTACTTCAGTGCCCATGCTTTTATTTGAAATACTTTCTTCAGAATTCTGCTGTATATCGTTCACTTCCTTATAAAACAAAACTATATTCTCTTCAGGACTCGTTTTCTGATTTTCCTTGACAATGTGTAATTTCTGTGTAGTTGAGTAATTCTTCTTTGTGTGTTTAAAGGAAAAAGCTATTCTATACTAATTTTTGCTTCTTTTTTAAAGCCAGGTACAAATCTTTCCCACTGAGAGGTGTTTGTCACTGTATCACCAACTGATGGCTGATGGTGAAGAATTCTATCAAGACAATTAGTCATAATGTTTTCTTAACAGTGAGCTGCCCCTGTTAATGAGTAAAGAAATACCTTCAGTAACTTCATTTACTAGTAAGTAAATGTACATTGAAATGAGCCATTTCTTTAAGCCCTCCAGTCAAATGTATTTAGCACGGACTGCAGCAACAAAGTATTTCTTACTTCCCCGAGACAATTTCAAGTCTTCTTACCACGAGATAGATTTAACCTTTTTGATCCCATGTGATAGATTTCATTTATCTCTCATCCTGACACCTCTTGTATTCCTCAGACGTTTTGTCTGAATGACAGCACCAGAACCCTTGATTATGGAATACTCTTTACAAAAGAGAGAGCTGTGGCAGCAATGTGTTACAGTGCCCACTGTAATGGCCCAAAAAACTGTACTGTCATATTAACAGAGACATGGGTCTGATTAGAATCATGAATATGACAGCTTTATTCAGAAAGACTAATTTCTTGTTTCAAGTGCTTGTTAATAAAGTTCTACTTTTCAAACTTTGTGGTTTGTTTTGAGGTGGTTTTATTTTTAGCTTCTGTAGACTTTTGTTGGTTGGATGAATGGCTGGAATGTATCAGAAAGTCTTGCTGTGTTGCCTTTTCCTGAGTACCATTACTAAAAATAAATTAGAAAAAGCAGACTCTCTGAAATGTAATGCTAATTATGGACAGGTTGCATCACTTACCATGTAGGGCTGAATTCTAGTCTACAATTCTACTCTTGCAGAGCAGAGGCTGTAGGCACAAAACTAGGCAGTAATTTAGTTAATGCCACTGATTTGCTTTTCAGGGAAATACAGGCCTCAACTGTACTGCGTGCACTTCCTACTGTGGTCAAGTGTCAGAGAATCAGTTTTCCCACAAATTAAGAAAAAAGAGAAAAACTTTAATCATAACTTAGCTAAGCTACTTTGAAGGTGTTTTCTTAGTTGTCTAGCTGAAGTAAATTAAGATTGATTGCAGTGATGCAAAGCTTCTAAATCATCTGTTCAGCAACTGTTCATTGCTGAAGAGGCACAACTGCCCTCTCCCTTCCATGGAGTGCAGTCCTTTAATAGAGTGCTCCAGCATGGGTCCTCCACAAGGTCACAATTTCTGCCAGCAAACCTGCTCCAGAAAGGACTCCTCTCTCCATAGGGCCATAGATCCTGCCAGGAGCTTGCTACAGGTGCAGGCTCTCCATGGGGTCACAGCCTCCTTTGATCATCCACCTGCTCCTCTTGTTGAGTCCTCTTTTACTCATATTTTAATATATTATTAGCACTTCCAGTCTTGGATATTAGTTATGATCACTATTACAGATGGCAACTGTTATTCCTGCAAGGAAAGTATAAAGTGGAAGGAAAGTGAAGGCACTCACCTTTCTGAAGTCCCCTGCACTCCACACTGCAGCACACTCCAGTCTTGAATTTACTGCCGCAGTTGTGTCCTCAATCCCACCACAGGATATTTTGGTCTTTTGTCTCTTCCTCAATGCTTTATGTCCAAAACCTTTTATGCAACATCCTCAAGAACTACCAAGAATTTCTAACAGGCCTCCTAATAACCTCACTGACTAACTTATCTTGTGGCAGATCCAGTAAATAGGGATATAACAAGAATTAAGAAGGTTGGCGCTTCCCAGAAGCAGAGAAGACCTGACAGCCAGTGAATGCCAGAAAAAGAGAACAGGTGATGGGAAAATTCCCTCCATGCTGTTTTAAATACACAGGACACAGCTGAAATTCTTCATGCATCAGGGAAATACTGCCCCAGTAGCGATTTTTCAGGAGCTGGTTTGAACTGCTCTTCCAACGAGAACGGTAGAAAAGTACAAACCAAATTATTGCTGTGACCACAAGCAGGTAATGGAGTATAGGCCCACAACTTCATACACAGCTTTTGCTTTCAGAAATAGAAGCTGTGTAGGAGTATGTTATTTTGGTATCTAGAAAGAGAAAAAGCTAGAATGGATTTGAAGTGTTCAGACAAAACCTTTTTTTCCATTAGGAAGTGCTGAATGCAAAGATGAAAATATTACCAGAAAAAACTGTCTCAAGACACTGTCACCAGCATCAGAATATCTAAGAGCCAGCTGCTCAGGGCATTAGTTTGGCTTGGAATGGCCTCCTAGACCCCACTAAACCCCAGGGCTATGTCCTTTTTCTTCTAGTTTTTAAGGACACTCTTACAGTAATAGGCATAGCACAAAGGCTTTATAGGGATTGTTTGACTAAGCACAAAATGAAATGCAGGTGAACAATCATTTTTCTGCCAACACAAGAGAATGACTGCCTTCTATCCAGCCTGCAGGCGTAAATGGTAGAAAAAGCACAGAAAAAGCTACGTTCACAATTGAGAATTTTCATATTTAACAGACTTTAAAACTGCCTGTGAGAACTGAAATGTAGTGTGCATTGTTTGTATGTGGTGAGCATGGAAAAACAGGGCACTAAGTTAAGATAGAGGTTCGATTTTTTTCCTTGTTTGCAGTTTTAAGACTCAGTTATACTGCCATTTCTAACCTGACAACAAAGCTCACCATTTAAAAAATCAAGTCATATTTCATATACATCCAGAGTAACTCAGTCACTGATGTGTTTACAATCATATGACAAGAAAACCGGGTATGACCTACTGCTTCAGACACTGCACCTGTAACCTCTTCCTGAGGCGCAGCACATGACGAGAGTTTTGCGTTAGTTTCAATTCTGTTCTTTTCATGTTCAGATAAGACCACACACGCTTCCCTTTCTCCACCCACCTTACTGTCCTGTTGCTTTGGGGGTTTAGCCCAGGAGAGGAGAAAATGTGTAGTTCTGTCAATCACTGAAGCCTCGGAACCAAATAGCATCTCTCTTCAATACTGAGTCCATCAAACAATAGTTTGTATAAACCCAGGTCTTGCCCTTCTGCAAGTTCTTTGCTTTTCAGCAATCTTACCTCCTACAAGAAAGTGAAACCACATAACTGCGAACACAGCAGTAATAGAATTCAGTTAGCTTCGAGTTTCACCATTAAAACCTAAAATGTGTTTTCAGCACATTTATAACAGCTGTATTTGAGCTGTCTTACTGAAGGCCAAGGTGAGTACCCACAATACCTGAAATTAATATATGAAATATCCACCAATTGCTCAAAAACATCTTTGTTGAATCCTTGCAAAAGAATATTTTGATCTGTAGAACTCCACCATCCACCAAAAGCAAAAGCTTGTAACAACAGATATGTAAAACATACTTTCAGGGCTTCATTTTGAACAAATAAAGAAACAAAACCAAATCACCACATTATCAAAAAAACCAGTTTTATCACTTTCACATTTAAAAATATACACATTACCCATAATAACAGCCGGAAAAAGCCAGAGCTCATTAGACAAGAACAGAGAAAATAGATACAAGTAATTCAGGAATATATTATAAGTAATAAAATCATTAAAACATTATGATGCCACTGTTCATCTGTCCTAGTTAGAACAGCTGGGACCAGTTCATCACTGGATGGGTATAACCCAAAACAGTGTATTCTATAGCCTTCCATGCCATTTCCCAGAAACTGTTGTCAATAGACCATTTACACCCTCTGCCCAGAGCAGCCCTGACTCCTCAGGCTATAAACTGGGTGTTAACAGGCCTGGAAGATAGGAGAGTGCTCTTGTCCTCACACCCATTGTGGAACTCCCGCCCTGAGGGAAGTACTGGACATTCCTGCCTGAACTGGAAAATATATAATCTTGGAATCTTGGAACTTTTTTAACCACTCATGGGATCCAGAGGAAGACTGCAGATCACAGCTCTCGACCAGACTGCAACCACCACTCTTGAGTGGACTGCAACAGCACTCTCACCAACAGGTTTTTCCCTCTCCTTTTACTTTGGACTCAGGGGGCCCAAAGAACACCACTCTGTTCATGCCCCAGAGTGCTGGGTTATATATTTGGGTTTTGTGGGTTAAAACCAATTGTTTGTCTGTATAATTGTATTTGCTGTATTATTAAATTGTTATTCTGACTTATAATCTGTCCTTTGAGTTGAGTTCATTTCCCCTGCTGGTTTATCTTTAAACCAGCACATCATCCCTCTTTAACCATCTTGTTGTTCTGAGATGTGTCAGTTAAAATAATGTCTGAATAAACAAAACTGTCTGAATGAAAAAAATAAAAATGTCTGAATAAAAAAAAATTCATGCAAGAGTGACATAAATAAAACAATTTCTCAAAGATATGGTGTCATATAGATATGGGAGCAGGATGCTCGTGAATACAGCCAGGACAGCAGTGCAGAGAATCATGGACAAACAGGTCGCATTCCACACAAAACGCATTCTGACACACTTTACATATGTAAACCTGTGTGGAAAGGATAGAAAACCAAGTCAAATTTAAAAAAATTATCACCATCATAGCACTGCAGTAGGGCAACAGTTGTGTCATGAAGACAGTGTAAACAGACTGTGTTGCTAACATCACTGAAACTCTGAAACACTGAACTTAAAGTTTCTAACAGCAAGTATATCCACAGGGCTGAGCTCAGGTCATTGTAGATGCTTCCACATGGCTAAGAGGGGAAGCTTCTTTATGCAGCTTCCTAGGAAATCCCTTCCCACACTTTTATAGACTTTGCAGTCTAAAAAGCGTGGCTCTTTATCACAGAACACCAGTTAACCATGACATAAGCATCCACAAATATTTTCGTGGTCTTAAGATGACTATACTAAAGGATCAGCTCTGCTTCTCAAACCCTCAATGCAAATTCCAATTCGGCTCAACATACTCACATTTTGATCTTTCATTTCTCCCTGACAGCCTTGACAATACCTGAAAGCAAAACTGTGTTATTTTAACTGAAAAAAGAGTCAATCAGTGTTTAAAAAATATCTTATACATAGCAACAACCCATGGCAATTATTTCAGCTATTCAACTGAACTCACAGATATAACTGTTGATGGGGACTACAAATATTTCTTAATGCCAGAGGTGCCCAAAACTACACAAACATTCAGCGTCTCCATCAGCAAAGTAGCTGCTGCCAGCTATTCCTACTTTGGTGACAAAAAAATTACAGGATCCACAAGTAAAGTCTTTATCATAAATATGATTTGCATACCGTTCCCCCTTGTATTCTTCCAGTGGAACTTCCTGAAAAGCATCCAGAGGAAACAAGTGATGGTATGACCGAGCCAGGTGAGGTGCAGACACTAGTGTAAGACCTGCAAATAAAGAGACATCAAAATTATTACAAGAGAGAACTTACTGAAAAGCTTTTCTGTATAAAATACAGTCAAAAGGAAAAAAAAAAAATTTAAATTACTCAGTGGTTCAAAGCTTTCAGGAATTTAAAAAATTAAAATTATTTGTTCCATTAGCTTCTAAAAGCCAAAGCTGTAATCCTTTCCAGATTTAAATCCAAACATAAAGAACAAGCAAATTACTCAAATTTCTACTGAAAAGGTTTAACTCTGTCTTTAGAAGTACATTTACAATGCATAGTGGTCAAGTTAGGAAGCTCCTCTTTGGCAATGATGGCTCTGCTGTATCACATCACTAAAATGCTCTACTCCAGCCTCCTGTAATACTGCCAAAAGCACACCATAGTCCTGTTTCAGCTAACACAGGTCTGCTGGTTTTAACAGCTAATTTTCTTCAAACTAATAAGTAAATGGCTGTGTTTTGGATTTGTTCTGGGAATAGGATTGTTTTCCTTACTGCTAAGCAGTGCTTGCACAGAGCCAAGGCCCTTTCTGCTTCTCACCCCACCAGTGAGTAGGACTGGGGGTGTACAAGGAGTTGGGAGGGGAAACAACCAGGATGACAGCCAGTCCCCCAACAGAAGAAAGGGATATCCCACACTATATGGCATCATGCTCAGCCTATAAAGCTGGATGGAGGTGGAAAGGGGAGAACATTCAGAGTGATGGTATTTATCTTCTCCCCTCACTGTTACCCATGATGAGCCCTGCTTTCCTGGAGATTCTGCCACTGGGAAGTGGTGAATTAATTATTTATTTTGCTTGGCTTGCATGTAGAGCTTTTCCTGTATATATTACACTGTCTTATCTCAACCCATGATTTTCTCACTTTTACCCTTCCAATTGCCTCCCCCATCCTACCAGGGAGGAGGGAGTGAGTGGCTGTGTGGGGCTGAGCTGCCAGCTGGGGTCAGACCAGGAGAACAGGTTAGCTGGGGCTTGGGCTGGCACAAACATCTCCACCGCTCATTCACATGCAGTGTAAGCATCTGAGCTCTTGTTCTGCCTGATCCCTGCAGCTGTGGAGAATCCACTGCTGATACAGGATTTCTCTTTTACACTATTCCCTTCCTGGAACCCAACTCATGCTTGTATGAAAAACTTGAAATTAAAATAGGATAAAGTGACCCAAAACTGTAATTATTTCATCCTCTTGCCAAATACACACATCTTGGTGTAGTGGTTTGGACCTTGTTTTAACCCAGAGGCTAAGAAAAGTGGTAACCCCGAAGGGGTGGAAACCCCTGGAAGTTTTGAAGTTCTGTCCAATGGGCGCTCCTGCAGAAATGTAAACATACCACAAGCTGAACGGAAGAGTGGTAGTTTGGTGGTAGAAGAAGTGGCCATGTTGTAGAGCCACGAGGAGAGGGCAGGAGCCCTCTGGGGGGGGGCCTCTGCCCCACCCCCCCAGCCCCAGTTGGGGGACTGCAAAGACTTGGAACAGTGTTAAGCTGGACTATGTGTCTGTAGCTGTGAGCTGGGGGATGTTTTCCATCGTGAGTGAGCAGAGACAGAGCAGAAGCGGTGGCAGCATCCAGAGGTTATGGCTAAAAGCCAACTGATAAGACCTGAACCGGAGTAGCAGCAGAAGCTAGCAGCAGAGCTACAGAGTTCTGGGGTAAGAACTGATACCAGACCCCCCCCAAAACTCCTTTGAGACCTCCTGGAAAGGAGGAAGATGATGGACTCTTACTTGAAAGAGCCTTGAAGTGCAACATGCACTGCAGAGAAGAGCTGAGAAGCTCAGAGCATCCTGGGAAGCTGGACCGGGACGGAGAGGAATGCAGAGGGGGTGACCTTGGCTCCCCTCTCGCACTGCTGCCAAGGTGGCAGCCTGAGGCAGGGTACAGTGGCCCTGCAAGGAGCTTGAATCTCCTGGAGATACCAGACCATCACGAAGGCCCCTGTGCTCGTGATATGACCGTGGTGGAATGACCTTTGTCTGGGGTGAACGCAGCCCACGAAGGACCCCTTTGCCTGCATCAAGGGGCTGAGAGGAACTTGGATACTTCCCTCGTGAGTGCTGGCAGAAAGCCAGCCACAGCTGCTGCATGCATGAGATGAGGAGACCTGCTGCCTTAGAAGAGACTCCTGCTTTGGGACTGGAAGGGATCTGTCCTTCTTTCCCTCCTGGACTTTTATTTGGAGGGGAGAAGAGATCTGATCCATTGTAAATACTATATGTCATGGTAGAGATAGTTGTGATCGTGTGTATAATGTGTTATAGTATTTATTTGTACAGTCATTGTAATATATTCCCTTTCCCCCACTTTGAGTCTGGTGTGTTTTGTCTGGAAAAACCCATCTCACATTAGGTTGAGATGTGGGAGGGGGGATGGAGCTAGGGAATTAGGATTTTGGGGCTATGTCAAACCATGACACTTGGTAATACCTATCACGTTTTAGTCATATGCCAGTAGAAGCTAACAGGACAGCACCACTTACAGTATTAATACTATAAAACATGCTAATCCTCCCTCCAGCCCTCACTAAGGGCAAGAGGGGGAGGAATCATTGGTTGCACAGTCCATTAACATTTTTAAGACTGAAGGGCTTCCATTTACAACTCTACAGCCTGTCATGTGTCACTGTGCAGCCTGCCCTTGGGGTCTACTTGGAAATCTTCAACATACTCCCGGAGCTGGGAGGTCTTCTGCCTTTGTACTCCAAAGCATTCTATCTCCACAGCCTTGCACTGAGGAGTCTGGAACACTGGTGTGTCTGTTAAATCTGGATTCTTGAGAAATTACCATTCACACATGGATCACCCTTCTTCCCTGCTTTGCTTTAGGGCTTTTAGTTTATAACATCACACCAGGGGATACGATACAGGTTTCCTGTTGCAGGCATATCCTGAAACATCCCTCGTACGAAGTTGGCATCCCAGGTCACAGGAATGCAGAGCTGCTTTTAATTCCTAAGTATAATTGAATTTTTCTACCCCTTAACTCTCTTACCACTAACTCCTACTTCATCCACTCACCTCTTCTTGCTACTTACCACAGATTTTGCATTCCACAGGAAGCTCACAGTATTTGGCTCTGCACTGGGGACAAAAATACCCACCCAGTGTGAGACTGGGCTCACTGTTGTTTTCCAATTGCCTACAGTAGAAAGAAACAATTCAGTACCTAAGAGGTAACACCATACTACTACATTAACTACAAATATTACATAGTTTTCACAACAAATAATTTTAAAAGTTTCATTAGATTGCACACAACAGTTCCATGTGTGTCAGAAAGCACCTGACATGAGAAGATATCAGTAACCACATTTTTCCACAAGAACAGAACAAAGACCAAATTTTCTCACATAAAGGCACCAATGTATCTTTAAAAAGTAAAGTTATGAGTGACAACTGCATTGCTTTTTCTACTTTGGCACAAAAAATATTCTGTATTGACTGTAAGCTGCATGGTAGTGTACTTATTCTTTCAAATAGCAGACATTGTTTTCTTCTGAGAATTCAGATTCCCATATCAGCCCTGAAAACTACGATTCTTTTCATAAGAAGAGCTCAGATACAATAATCAAATAAGGCCTATATTTTAAGCTTCCCTTCAAAGTTACATTAGGAAATAGATAAAAAAGTACTTTACTCAGATAATACCCTTCATCCTAATAGTTATCTTCTATAATGATAATAATACCTAAATGAAGAACTGCACATAAAATTGGCAGTAATTACTTTAGCACCTTGTAGCACCCCTTTGCCCTAATCATTGTATAACACAACTAAGCACCATCTTCCAAAAATTTAAATGCAAAGTTTAAAAAGCATATTTAACAAGAGGTAACTATGGTCACATACAGGATGTGCAGATGAAAACAAAATATCTGCTGAGAAGTCACAAGACATTGCTTGCTATTTTTTCATGTTATTTTGCAATATTTTCACTGTAAAGATTTTCTAAATATATGACTAATTAATACTGAATTCTTATCAGCTCACTGAATTCTAATTAACTCTACTTACACCATGCTAAAGGAAGGCTTTGCATCCTGATCAGACAGGGAAGCAATAGTATGCTGAGGAAAACCTGAAGAGAAAAACAGCCCATATTAACAATTTTACACATGCAAGTAATGTGTCAGTTTCATACTTTAGTGGAGAAGTTCAAAGACTATTCTAAATATTAAGGCCTATCTCCTTCTTGTTTGTTATTACAGTAGAAATAATACACTCTTACTAAGTATCAAATCCTCCCTAAAGGTCTCTACCTACATTCACATATGCCTCAGCATACTTTCCCCAACTGAAAAAATGTCTTTTCATAGACTTTGTATTAACTGAAGCTCCTGGAATCCCATTTCTGAAGAACAATGAAAAAAAAAAAACTATATGCAGTGGTAGGAAAGCAGAATAAGCACCACATGAATGTTCACTTAAACAATGGTTTCTAATTAAGGAGAAAATATTTTTATATATGCAGACACCAAGCCTATATTCACCTTCCAAGTGCAGTATACAGCATTTTATGGAGACTGTAACAGAAACCTTTCTTTCTACCACTTATTTTTTACAGCTCATGACAAATGGACAGCTGGTTCTCCCAACTGCTCCTCAGGCTTTACCTATAACAAGTAAACCTCTTCAGTATTTATATCTACACATAAAAATACATACATCTCTCTCTGTGAAAGGGGTGGATGAAAGTGAGAACTCAGTGCTCTACTTTGTGGCATTATGGTTCCTATTTTGGTTTAACTCCAAGCTTAAATTTATTGAGAAACACATCAGGAGAAGAAAAGGCACCTAATCTGCTTGCTGAGAGAACACCAAAACAGTGCTCCTCACAAACATGTACAACATGGCTAAACATATGGCTCTTACAATCAATTAATAGTTATGACAGTTGCCTTCTGCAGGGAAAAAACAGGGAGAAACAAAATAATTTTTCATCCTTCATTTTTAAGTAGTACATCTATAACAATCACTCTACAAGCAATATCATTTCACTTTATTATTCCCAACTTCTGTTGAGTAATTTCTCTTTCTTAATTGTCAGTTTTATTTAAAGCTGACTACTTTGCAGGAACAACATCAAGAAAACTTGTATTTCTTCAGCAAAATACAAGTCAAAATAAAAAAAAAAAACAATTGTGCAATGTCTTTATTAAGCTTCTTACTACTCGTAAGGCTTTAACACAGAAGATGCAAAGAAATAAAAAGACAGAGCAGATCTGGTGCTCGGAGTTTAACAAAACTGTACCATACCCATCCGAATAAGGGAACACTCAGAACTCGAACTGGCAGGTGGAGGACTAACGTGATGCATCAGCAGTTCCTTAAAATGACTTTCATCTAAAATCACGTGGTATGTTCCTGTCACAAAGAAATAAATGCCTTACTTGCAGGTTAAGAGGCAGCTGAGAATACATACACTCCAAATGACAGAAAACAAATTAAGCAGAAAAAGTAATTTATCCAAACCTGTTCCTAAAAACTAGCCCTGCTAACGTTACTGAAACTGACAAGTTGTGAATTTGGTAACACCAGAATGTTAAATTAGACATGAAGGCCCATAACTTTTTTTCACAACATTACACTGTAATAATGATATTGTAAAAGTTACCACTGCAGCAATTAACAGTAACATGTTTCATTGCTTAAGTTCCACATCACATAGCTTAATACGTGGAACAGTAGTTTTGAAAATATATCTATTTCTTCTCTCTAGAGCTGCAGCTACCAGCTCATAATAATTTCACTTACTGCTGTGTATTTTGTAGATTTGGGAAACCCTTGAATTTTCTGCCAGCACAATGGAAAATATTGATCCTTAAATATCAAAATGCACTAATGAATTTATAAAACAGTTACTTAATTTTGATTTTAAACCTGTGTTAGTAATATAACTACTGAACTTCAGATACATACCACCAGTTTCTCGGGCAAGTACTGTACAGACTCGAACTTCAGCACTCAGGCCGATGACAGATACTCTGATCTTAACTGCTTTTAAACACTTCAAATAGAAAAAGAAAGCATACTCAAATTCATGTGCAGAACAAAAATTAGTAAAAGGTTTTAAAGGAAAATTAATTTGTGATGACACTGCAACTGTCTGTTTTAACTCTAATAGCTTGGATGTTCAATGCAGTAGTCAAACTACAATTCTGTACCTTAATTAGATCATAGATGTTGGCTGGATCACATGTTGTCAGGCTGCTGAAGACTACCAAAATCTCTCTGCTTGTATGTCCTGGCATGTGCCTAAGGAAAGTACATAGTTAATTTACTGCTGCATACTAAGCTACTTGGATGATAACGTCTACAAGGACTTTAATGCTCTGAAGTCATGATGCAATATGAAGTCCTCCACAAATTCTAATATGATACTTCTCTGAGCACCAGAATTTCACCTTCCATAAGTCAAACCTTTCCAGTACTTGATTGTGTAGTTGTTATCTAATTGTTTGCTTTAATGAATCCCTTATCCACACTCTCACAGGTAAAATTTACCTTCAAACTAGCAACACTACAGCAAGTCTTCTGACTTCTTAAAATAAACATTTATAGGTGTAAATTCATTACTCTTTACTTTTGGTTCTTAGTTGCAAACTCTCTTCCAGTTAGTCACTCAAATAGTTTTTTATGACACTGACTACTAACTTTGTTCTGTCAATATTTCTAGCCATAATCTTTCGTTCAGTCTTCCAAACTGGGATGCATCTCAACACCTCACACAGCAAAAAATTGTTTTAAATCTGTCCTACCTGAAAATTTACCTTTCTAAAGAATGCCAAAACTCCCACAAGACTACTGTGACTCAATGCTGCTTCTTTGCCTGTTCCTTTATCATTAACCCCTAACTCTGTCCTTTCCCATACCTCAGCCCTCCAGTAAAAAAAAATTGTCTTTCATCACAATATCTACATACAATCACCTAATTGGTTTTAAAATACTGTTGCATTTTATAAGCAGCACATCTCTAAATACAAGCATCTCGTGTTAAAAATCAACTTCTGCACTACTAGCATATTTAACTTTTAACAATTTGTATTGTAAGAGAACATAATTAAAAACTCAAGGCAGCATGATGCAAGATGCTCCTCCGAAAAAAATTCTGTCTCTGCCTCTCAAAAAATTCACAGTCACAAAGAAAATAAAAAAAACTCCATGTAAATACTAACTTTAAAGTCTGCATGGCCAAATTTAGGGAATTATATAGAGAAGGCTCTCCACTGCAGTTCATATCCACTGCTTTCTTCAGAGCAGTTACATGCTTCTTTGAGTTTCCTGTAAGTGAAAAAAAAATCCCAAGCAATTCAACTGATACAACAAGTTAAAAGAATTGAAATATTTAAAGTACATATGCAATGAAGTGTACTTTTACGACAAGTTTTCAAACTGTGACAAAAAACTGTCTATTTTTTGTTAGAAACTGATGTGCCAATCAGAATGCAGAAAACAATAAAACAATATACTAACAGAAAGACATTTACTCTACAGGCACCCAGTTGTTAGAAACTTTAAGAAGTCAACAAAATAAAATCACTGTTGTGTATCATTAAATGGTCAACATAAGGGCAAAGTGTCTCACAAAGTGTTTCAGCAAAAAAAGAGTTTAGTTTCTTCTGTTATCCTCAAAGAACTGTTCAAAGATTGATTCATCCTCGATTTCCTCAATAAAGTCTGCTTTATCTCTGAAGCCACAGAGATTGCTGTAACAGCAGGCAAGAACCAAAGAAACCTTGCTTTTAACACCTGATCAGATCTCACCATTCACACAGGTGTCATAACAAAATTAACAAACAGGGTAGAAAATTAACTATAAGGGAAACAAATCATGTTTTAGCTGCAATCTGGACAGGACAATGGCAAAAAGCACACAGTGCCACTTCTAGATCAAAACAGATCAAAATAAAGACTATGGTTTCAGACGACTTGCAATAATTTATCTTTTAAAAATATGTTAACATCACTTCCAGCAGTATATCAGATAGAACTTGTAACATCAATGAAACAGACAAAAACATCTCCAATAAAAAAACAAACAAACAAAGAAACAAACAAAAAAACCCAAAAACCCCACAAAACCCAAAACTAACTCCCTACCTGAGAGTTCTGTCATTTTTTCAGCTCTTTTACTCTTGGTTACAATTAAGCCAATCTGGAAAAGGAAAAAAAAATAGTCAAAAATTTTCTTACCAAGTTTTAAAAGAGGATGATTTATATTTTTGCTATATTTTGCCTAATACTTCTTTATGGATCAGAATTACTTAACCATACAAGTCTATACAAGTTTTCTTGTAACTGTAACAACAGCAGCCCAATGTGATGCATCAGTTAACACAAACTGTATATTTCCAGTACTTTTGCACAAAATGAAATCCTTGAAAATTCCAAGAAAAAAATATAATCAGGACTTCTATGTCAGAATTGATGCTAGGAATAAGAGAACAGACAGGTTCTTATATTCATTAGTTCAGGCAGAAACGAGAGTTTCACTAGATAGGATGGGAGGGTACACATCAACAGAGAACAGTTTACTAGATACTGTTAAAACTAAAACTACCTTCTAAAATAGCTTTCTATTACTTGTTTCTTGCATGGTTGTACATACCTGACTAATGGGATTTTGGTCAAAGTACTCTTCAACAAAATATTCCAGTAACTACAAAGAAAAGTTAAGACTGTTAAGAACTAATGACAGTTTTGCTCCCCATGCATTAAACAGGTGATATTTGCAAAACATCTGGTATCATTAAAGGAAAAAAAAAAAGCTGAAGAAAACAAAACAAGGGAATGAGACGTTCTTTTCCATTCTTCTTTCACCCCAGCCCTTCTCCTTCATCCCATGTTACCAATGCAATGCAAATTTCAGAAACTTGTCCCCTTTTTACTTTATTCACGTCATATGTTCAAGTTCCAGATTCCCAGTGGTTCAGATGGAGGTTTCCAACACACCACAGAGCATCAATCGGTACAAAATCAACAAAACCCAGGATTTCATGCTTCAGTGTTATTAGGGAAGACCATATAGTACAATATGTACTGTTCAAGTCCCCCATGCCTGAAACACCAGTCCAATTCAACTCCTGACTAACACTCTTTCAAATCAGAATTCATAAAAAAAACCCCAACTGTAAGAAAAAAACACAAACAATTCTAGATGTGCAATGAAAACATGTCTGTTTTTCTTTCATCCCCTTATTATGGGCAACAATTAATTTCCACATACTTTTCATAAAGTGTCTTTCCCTAATATATCCTTATTATACAGTGCTTTTACTGTACAGAAGTACATGTGCATGGCAAAATAGTGTCACACTATTCAAAAAACAGGAAAATAACAGACTAGCAAGAGAATGAAGGGAGAAAAAAGCAGGGATGATAGGAAAGATGAGGCTATCCACATACAGGAGACTGCAATTCTTTTAAATGCAAAATGTAACTGGGTTTATAAAGGAACAGTGGCTTAGTAAGGGAACATTTCTGAGTCCAGAAATACCTTCAAAGTGCAAGTAAGTCTGTTCGGTTTTAAGTCTTGGTCCTCCATCGTTCTTGATCCATCAACAACCACATAAAGGTGACGCATCTGCATTTCCACCATAAGTGAAAATCACTCACAGAATACATACTGAACTGAATTCCTTATTCCATTTACTTAAAAAAAGGCACTAATTCCTCCCTCAAACTGGGAAAATTCAGAATATTGAGCCATGCAATCAACATCAACCGAAAAAGTAACACATTTGTCTACTTTTCCTTCAAAATGAAAAAAACGAAAACCCAAACCACCTCTCTCGGAGAATGCACACTGCTCTTTTCCTCTCACAATAAGCTGCAATACATGCACAGCTGGAACCTTCATGTTTTCATCTGAAGAATTTAGTGCTGAACTAAAGCAACGTTGTTATTTACAAGCTGTTTCAGTTACACCCATTTTTCACATGAAGGGAAATGGACAGTGCCAGTACACATGATCCCACTGCAAACCACACCCCGTGTGCCAAACCTCTGAATTCCACCTCTGAATGCTCATGCTGCACATTCACCCTGCCAATGAACAAAGAATGCTTAAAAAAAATTAAAACTGGTGGGAAACACAAGGTTTGGTCTCAAGGATGTTAGGTCTGGGTCTTTCACAGTGTCTTTCAGTGCAGGAACACCAACTCTAGTCAAGTAGCTTTGGACTGAGGGCAGAAGAGAGCGAAGACATCAAGATACCATTCCAAGCCGAACTTGTCCGTGGTGTTCATAGAGTCTAACAAAACACAGAAGGATTTAAGTAAGAGGCAAGTGAAGAAATGGCTCCTAAAACAAAAGCCCAAAACAAATCCTAAACTAGACTTCTGCCAAATAAGCAGCAGTAACAAACTGCAGACACTTATTTACACTGAAAAATCTGACAACTCAGCCACAGACCTCTCCTCTCTCTCAGAAAACAAATAAAAACTATTCGTTACAACCAGGTTTAATGAAGCTTTAAAATTTTATCCAAATTTGAATGTTTTAACATAACTTGAAATAAAGCAGAAGTTAGATTTTTTTCTGGTAATTTTTTTGAAATTTGAAATGGAAATCTGGTCCCATGATACCAAACGCCAGCTTCTGTTGTGAACAGGCCAAAGGGCAATGTTTTTAACTACACCAGAGTGGGTTTAGATTAGATATAAAGATGTTTTTATGATGGGGGTGGTGAGGCACTGGTACAGGTTGCCCAGAGAAGCTGAGAAGTTGTAGACATCTCATGTCTGGAAGTTTTTAAGACCAGGCTGGATGTGGCTCCGAGTAGCCTGGTCTAGTGGGAGGTGTTACCCATAGCAGGCAGGTTGGCACTGGATGAACTTTAATATCCTTTCCAACCCAAACCATTCTATGATTCTATGATTGGTATATCAAAAAAAGTGCTGGAGGACTTCTGTAAGGTGTGCAGATTGCAACTGCAGTGCTCTGCACCGCGGTCCATCCATCTTGATCTGATGTGTATGCATCTTGACCGTGTATGCAGCTTGCATACACCTGGGGTATCCAGCCTGCACACACAGTGCTTAGATTAAAGTTAAAAGTTCATTTTACAATTTCTCACAGCACAATAAGCAGTAGGCAGGAAGCATGAAGGGGTAAGGACACAAAAACCCACTTTCAGTACGATCAAGCTAGGGCTATCTGCAGGCTTGTGGTCACGAAAAGTACCTTTTCCTCTTTGCCTTGAAGAGGATATCATCGATGGTTGCTTTCAACGACCCGGATTCGTCTTCTTTAAGAATTTCCCTACGCAAAGCAGAGTGTTAGCGAGCGGAAGGGAGATTTTTCTCTCCTCTTTCGCCAGAAATAGGGTGAGGGAGGGGAACGGTGACAAACACACCATGTTCTTTCGTAGCCTCCTTCCCAGCGCTTGGTCCGCTCGGGTTCGTCATCCATCTCCGCGGCGGGCTGAGGCGGCTTGGGCGGCCTGACGGGAGACGAAGGGGGCTCGGGGTAATGCGGGGAGCCGAGGCGGGCTCAGGTGGCCGAGGGGAGCCGAGCGGAGGGCTGGGGGCAGACGAGGGGTGCTGAAGGCACGCCGGAGGCCGAGGGGACCCGGGGCAGCCACCAAGCCCCGCCCTCCCGGACATACCCGCCCTCCTTCGCCTCGGTGCGCCGCCAAACCCTCCCGGCCGCCGCCCGGGCCGCGGAGCGAGCGTTCCGGGGGCGCTCCGGTGTGTTTTCCACACCACCTCCAAAAAACTCCCCTTAAGTCGCGGGGAGAATGAGGGCGGAGGGAAAACGCCTCACGGAGACATCGCTCGTGCGGGCGCCAGGCCCCGGCGGTGGCGTTTCTGTGAGGTGCCCCCTCGTTTACCTCTCGGAGTCATGGCACCGTCTGGGTTTACCTGTATTTCTGTAATTAACTGAAAAAATTCTAGTAATTAAGAGAAAAACCCAAGAGCCTAGAAAGGCCACGCTGTAGCGCTGAATTTTAACACGGTTATGCTCACAGGCCAGTTAATTAAAGCAGCTGTCTACCGCCCCGGTATAGCAAAAGCAAACACTTTTAGGCATTTTGTTGTTACGTGTTTATGTTTTGCATCTACCTAAAATAATTCTGAGCATCCATCTGATGTCACCAAGAGTTTCCATTTCGTAAGCATCGCAGTAAGGATTAGGTCAGAGCCAGCTGAGCTAAGTGCTGACTGCTCTGCAGAGCAACCAAAACTCCAGGGATACAGTGGAAATGTGCCAAGACTGGGTTTCACCTCTTCAATTACAGGAAAGGTGCTGAGCATCCGTTCCTAAGGGGGAGAGGGGTGCGTCACTCTGCATCCGAGTAAGACAATAAATGAGGAAGAAAACGTGTAAACAGTAGTAACACTTCCTGAAACAGGAGCAGGGAAAAAACTTGCCACTTCTGCTGTACCCTGCTGTACACTTCTGTTGCGCTTATAGGGAGCAATTTAAAAGGGAAAGAGAAGTGAAATTAACTTGCTTTCAATTAAACCATGCCTGGGGAAAATTCACTTTTTTTTTTTTTTTTTTGAGGAAAGCAATCTCCTGAAGACAGGGAAAAGGGGAATTCTTTAGTTTGAGAAGCCAAGATTTGCTTCTTGGAACTGAAATATCTGTACTTTGATCTATTCCCATTAGAACACATGCCGTCGTTTCTTTAGGAGGAAAAAATCCAATTTATAAAACATTGAAAGGGAAAATGTCTGCAAACTGACACTTTTATAGGAGAGAAACGAGACTTCTTTCAGAACAGCGATATTTTTTATTGTCAAGGCCAAGAATTTCAATACTTGACTGAAATACAGGATATACAATAATTTTGTAGATTATGATTGTCCAAGTGCTTGAAATTCCATCATGATTTTGAGATTAACAAACTAAATACTGGATACCTTCTTTTACAATTTCAAATCAATTAGGTTTTTCATTGCCATGAGCATGCTGTCACGGAAGCTAGTCCACCTATTATGCTATCCAAACTTTTGGATACATTTGTTAGGCATTGCTTTATCTGGCCTGAAAAAATGTACAGTTCAGTAAAAAGTATGCAGATGTTGCCACAGCTACCTTGATCAAGGATATCCAACTGTTTTCAAAGACAAAAAAGGAAAAAAAAAAGGTCCAGTTTGGAGACTATTAAATTTATTCCTAGAAACTGTAAGTCTCTTGGCTAATTTGCTTTGTAGATCTGTGGAGACAGGAGAGCATTTTCTAAGAAGGATAAAACTTCTTGTTATACACAGGGTCTGAGGACAGGCTGTAATTGGAAGCAGACACTACATGCCTGTGGATGTAAGACAGTATTACTTGGTAAGATTCAAATACATGTTAACTACACCTTCTGCAAAAATCCAGTCACATGAGTAAGACCACATAGACTGTTAACATGTAGATTCACAGAGTTGAGCCCAGAGACTCTGCATGAAGAGACTGAGGTGATAATCATTTAACAACTTCAGTTTTGTCAGGAGTATACCTTCTATTCTTTCAGGATATCAAGAGACTACTTGCCCTGATAGCTCTGATGGTAACTAATTTTCAATTCCCTCCTAATTGTTGTGCAACTCCCAGCCATTTATTCTTATTTCGTTAATCTCAATTTCTTCTATAGATGAAAATGTTTCTTAAACTAATAATTCTTCTTTGGCTTGTTCAGAGCACTGTTGACAACTGATGGACCGAGAGACCACAGAGAAAAAACCTCCAGGCCAATTTAGTATATATGATAAAAGAGCAATCAGGCCCTCAGGCCAAGGGGAATACATGCGACACACTCGCACCCAGGCAGTGGTTCTATGGTTTTATAATAAGGTCCATCCAATCCCAGATTTATCCACCCCCTCGGTTCTGCCCAGTTTGGCCCCTGACACACCCCTTCGGGAACTGGGTCTGGGGTCTTTGGGACCCCTTCTTCCTCATCTTCATCTTCTTCACAGCAGCACAGTCCTTGGAGCTCCTCCAAAGTCCTGGGCTTGAAGGTCACTTTGTCTGTCGTGGTATCTCGTTGTTCAGGCCTAGGGAGCAATGTTCTTAAAAAGAGGCTTTTTCTACAATCCTACCTTGAAAAGAAAACTAAACACGCTAAAGGAATTTAGAGGGTTTGATATGAAATGGGGTAATAACGTTGGGTATTTGTAAACTACTATGTTAAAGGGTAAGGGATTATACAGCTACATTAAAATCTCAATTTACTACACAACTACTTCTATAATCTACAAAAAGCTAAAAAAAATCCTAAAAGCTCTGAGGCATCACAAGACAGACCTTTTTCAGTCCTCCACTGATAGGTTAGAGCAAAACCAGCTGACTGTATGCACCAAAAGTGCCTTAACAGTCCTGAGGCCCCAAGAGATACAGGACTAGACAAGTAACTTACTGCAGTGGTTGCAACATGTTGCCCTGCTGCAACCTAAGGATGCCCTGTATGCCTTGGGATGGTAACTTGGGAAGTCCAGTACTGAAGTAAATGCCTTCTCATGAGGCTCCACGCTAAGCAAGCCCACTGCCATGCGCTGCACTAATCCTGTTTGGACCCCAAAAAGCAGTCAGAAATGAATATTTCTCTCCCCAGCTTCTCTCTCCAACTTTTGGAAAATCCCCTTGGCCACAAGGGTGGCATCTTTCTAGGAAACATGGACCGCACCCAATAACACAGCTATCCACATATAGCTGTCTCCACTTGGTTTACTTGCCTGTTCCACCCACAGGCATACTGTTCCGTTTTCCCAGCTCCTTTGTTGGAAACTTTGCAGGAAAGGAGAAGCACGATAGCTCTTCAAAGGTTATGGAGACACTGTCTGAGGGACCAGGAGCCAGTTCCTCAAAGACTGAACCTCAAGACCACTGTCAAAGAGAGCCTGGGGCTGGATGTCAGTGTCCTGTGGAAAAAAGACCTATTAAGGGTGCAGACTGTGAACCTTCCAAAGAAAGTATCGGTCAGCTTATTTTTAGCACTTCATGAACACCAGTTGAACCTTAAAGTTGTGTTCATCTTCTTCTCCTACAACTGATGCAATGCCCACAACTCTCAATGAAAAAAAAAAATGAGAAAACTGGATGTAAAGTGAGAGGTCATTTATTTAGATTTTGGGGATTTGGACAAGTATCTCTCTAACAAAGAAGAGTTTAACAAGTATACAGCGCAACAGGTATAAACATTTGGCCCATCTCCTTTATAAAGTAGAGAGATTTCCTGTTTGAAATTAACACAAACTAGAACGAGAGAGAGTGGCATCTGAACGGAGAAGGAGAACAAGGCTGTCATCTGATTTCAGACTGATGAAAATGTTGAGGCACCTTCGAGGTAGATGGGACTGAAGGTTTTCACATGCAGAGGTGCCAAGTTTTCAAATTCTCTCAGTGTTCCCATGGTGTTTTGTGCTATTTACTTCATCCACTAAAACTCTTGGAATTAAGTGGCTGATAAAATTGGAATGTCAACTTTATAAATATGAAGGTGGGTGTGTGGCCATCAGGATTGCAGTGTGAATGATAAGGGCTGAAAAGTCAGAAGGGTTTTAACTGTCAGAGTGAGGTATGTTAACAGAAGTGAAGGACAGAGGTAGTACTACCATGACCATTATGAACTGGAAACGGCTTTCCTGATGTCTTTCCTTTAAATTAAGGCAAAAGTTAAAAACTTTCTTTTAAAGAAAAAATGATCCCTAATAAAAATTTGCAATAACCTTAATCAGAACAGCTTTTTCTAACTAAATGCCTTTATAAGCAGTAGAGTAATATGGCTGCATTTTTTATATTAAAATATATTTCAGAACAGACAAATTAAGGTTGTAAAAAACTGTACAAAGAAACTATCAATGCTTCTAACAATTTTAGTAAGTAAAAATAATTAACAAAGATGTGAAAAAGGATACAAAGTTTACTGGCTTATGAAAACATCTACACATACAAACCTATCCCCATGATAATATCCCCAAGAAAATATAAAAATATATATTGATTTTTGGCAGATATGCTCCAGAAAGAATGTCTGTTAATATGTTTTACCTGGCCTTATAAATGATACTAACAATTTATACTTTGAATTAATTAATTTTGCTTAACTCTCTGAATGCCAAGTTCACAAACATCTGCTGCCTAGTACACCTGTACTAATCATAGCATGACCCAGAAGTGGCATGCAGAGCCTAAAGACATATAGCAACACTAATGGAACATTACTGTGAGTCCCATCCTGTACCTCTATTCCATGTATAAATTTGTTGCATCATCTCTAAAGAGGGGAATAAAAACCTCAAACCAAAGTGCCCCTTTCCACGTTGCTTAAATAGGAAATTATTTTTCATCTCTCGTTGGGTGAAATTCAACATAATTTCTGGCACACATTCTGGTACAGCATTTGGAAATACAATACAAAAATTCTTATTAAACTAACTTCTGAATTGACAAAATTATTCAATATGATGAAGCACTCCATCAAAACCCAGACAGAAAGAACAGCTCAGCTCTTCCTGATATCATTTAGATATCACTTAAAAATAAAATCTGAAATTGTTAACAGCATTTCTATGCAAAATTTTCACATGGTATTTAGAACTGCCTTCTCTGGTGGGCTTTGCAAGTTTGCAAATACAGTATTTTCAAATAAAGCATTCATATTTAAGAGGTCAGGATTTCCACTAATGAAAACAGAATGTTAGAAGAGTTTTTCTAAAGTTATCTGATAACTTCAATTACATTGATTTAAAATTGTATCTTCATACAAAAACCTACCAGTAATATACAACATCTAAATAAGTGACAGAATGATTAACTAATCCCCGTTGCTGTACTGTTCTGAGTAAATAAATAGGTTAAAATAGGCATATCAATTTAAAAAACAGAAAATAGTATCCATGAAGTGAAGGCATAGCTAAGTTTCTACATTCCAATTCATAACTTTATCATAGTCCTGAATTCGTTGTTTTATGTGAGAAAGCTTATTCTTTAGATATTCACAACGCTCCTTTTTCTCCAGAAATGCAGGATCCTGCCAAAAATACAAAAACCTTTACATTAATATATTACGTTTTCATATTTTTCCAAGAATAGTCTATTATCAGTTGTGTTCTTGACAAAGGACAGTATATAAGTTGTCTCCAAAATCCCTTTTTTTTTTTCCCCTGGACACAATTTTTTATGTCCTGCTTCCCCTTCCTTCATGAAAGGCTAGAAAAAAAATGTTCTGCTTTTATATGTTGTAGTTACTTAGTAAACAGAGCAGTTTTAAAACAGAAATCTGCAAATATAAATTATATCCTACTACGTAATTTAGATTTTATAGGTGTGTTGTAGTAAGTGCAATAAATCCCTCCTCTCCAAAAAGCTATGAAGTTTAACTAATACAGACACAAACTTTGAATTCCATGGAGGAAGAAAAATGGTATTTGTAATGTATTATGGTTTTAATGGAACACAGATACACATTTGCTCTCCACAATTAAAAATGACCTCTTGGATGACACTGAAAATTACTTTTTCAGAGTGCCTAAATTCCATGCCTCAAAAAATACAAAACTACTTTTCTAAGATAAGATTATGTTTTCTGTTATTATCTGTTGGCTGTGTCAGTCAGTGAATATAAATGAACCCCAAATGGATCCCAAAAAATAACTAGTTTTCTGAGTGCAGAATGCTAAGAGATGCAACATACTCTCAGAAGACAAAAATCCTTAACTGTGTGCTTGTGGCTACAAGCCACATCTGGCTACTGGAATCATCATTCTCAAAACAGGTTGTTGGCATGAGTGTGTGAGTTTGTGTCCTAACTTTTCCAAAGTTTTAGAAGAGAAAATACACATTGTCCTGTCATGTCTACAGATACCCTGAGCTAGTGAATTGTGCCTAGTGTCAGAACTGTTGGCTATTTACACTCTCTTTGCTATTAATTAGATTCACTAGCAGTGTAAATCTAAAAATACTTACATTTTTTTTCTTCTTGTATTCTTGCAGAACTTTTGATATCCTTTCCTGTTCCTAATGAGAGACCACAGATTTTTAAACACTTTGAGTATACTCCATATCTTCATGTAAATTCTACAAAATACTCATCAAAAGCAAAGTTCTCATTATAGTTGTAACATTTCAGTTGTAAATCTTGTATTTGAGAAATAGTGGAAGTACATTAACTGTGATTCACTCAAATGTAAAAACTACTAGTATGAAACAAACAAATAATAAAAAAAAACAAACAGAAAAGCAGGTATATGTCTTAACTACAACTTGGTGTTCTTAACTAAAGATCAGACAAGATGGTCACATATATGGGAAAACTTTCTCTCCCACCAACTCACAGCCAACCCTACAAAACACTGAGTCGTAGCTAAAGACAGTCAGAAACTACCTAATAATACCACCTAATACCACTGTTTTCTGTGAGCCCATTTCACAAGTACTTACATATATGCTTTCAGGATGGTGGGGAAGTTGTTTCAGCAACGCATCCAGCTCATCAAACTTTTTCAATACAGCATGAACTTCCACAGACAGTTCTTTATACTCAGCAAACTGATCATTGAATACTGCTTTGTACCGGTCTCTCATTTCATTTGTTTGAATTACTGGGTATTTCCTTAAAACAAACAAACAAACAAACACGTTTTCAAGAACTAGTTTTAGAGATAGGAGTTTTTAACAAACATTTGGACCCTTCACCTTGATAGTGTATTTCTGTATTGTTTGCTAATCTCACAACCTGCTGAAATCTGCATGCCTGTAAAGCACTGAAATCACAGAATCCTGAAGTTGCAAGAGACATCTGCAGTTCGTCTGGCTCAATCAGGGCCACCTAGGCCAGGCTGCCCAGGACTGTGTCCAGATGGCTTTTGATGTCTCCAAGGATGGAGACTCACTCTCTCTGGGCAATCTGTGCAGACCTTCACAGTGAAAAATATTTTCCTAACATGCAGGTGAAACCTCATGGGTTTCAGTTTGTGCCCTGGTCTATGGCAAATAGTATAGAAAATACTTTATGACCTCATAGTTTATCACAGAAAGATTTCCCCTCTAAAAGGGAGCATGTTACAGATTTAACACTTAGAAAGTACAAGCGTAGTCAAACTTCAGGAGCTAAAAAGGCAATTTCCCATATATTTTACTTTTTTCTATGTCTGTATGGTGGTCTTCTGTTCCTTTGGCACTTACTGTACTTGCTAGATAACTTTCTGCTTTAACATTTGAGGTGTGTGTGGGTTTGTTTTTTCCATTAAGATTCTTTATTTATAATTACTGGTTTATGCCACTGAATGCCACTGATACCAGCCCTCATCCTCTCTATTTTTTAACATTAACTTAACAAAGAATCATGAGTTCAGACAGCACATGCATGGCATGGAAATCACGTGTGTATATACGAGAAATGCTGGGTGAAAAACATCATTCAAGTATCATCCACTAAGTTGGTTCATCAAAGTCAAGTCACTTACGCTAAGTAGTCTGGCATCACTATAGGTTTAGGAATGTGGCCTGCAGGTATATGACCATTAAGTAGTTCTGGTTTTCTTTCCACAGACTTAAGCTGCCTGTAACTGACTTCTTCTCTTGGTCTGTCATCACTTTCGTACTGTTTTAAAAGAAAAAGAATTTGTTCTTAATGAAGTCAGTTCTATATAAACCACATAATGCACAACTCATTGAAGACAGGGATACAAGTACCTAGTAGCAATAGAAGCAAATAGCAGGTATTTCTTACAACCCTTATTGTAATTAGAAAATTGGTAATGAGTTACATTAATGTTTCTCACACACTATTCTTCTTCAGTTTGTCATAACAGCAGTACCAGTGACAGATAAATACTTCTCTGGGTTTGGAAAGATTCGCCTGTCTTAAAAAAACAAGTTAAGGAAGTTTCTTTGGATATCCATCTAATTTTTGAATGAATAGGAATCATTCAGTTCTCTGGAGTTTCCTTTTCTCCTTGTTTCCTATCAGCAGAATCACAGAATATGCCAAGCTGGAAGGGACCCACAGGGATCACTGAGTACAGCTCGCACAGGACCACCCCAAGAGTTACACCATGTGCCAGAGAGTATCATCCAGACACTTCTCAAACTCTGCTGGGTGTGTTCCTGTGACTATTTCCCTGGGGAGCCTGTTCCAGTGCCCAGTCACCTGCTGGGTGAAAAACCTTTTTCCAATATTCAGCCTAAACCTTGTCTGACCCAACTTCAGGCCATTCCAGTTCCATCACTGGTCACCACAGAGAAGAGATCAGTGCCTGCCCCTCCTCTTCCTCTCACAAGGAAGTTGTAATCTTTGATGAGGTCACTCTGGCACAATTTATCCCTTGATCCCGAAATAAAAACATGTGCAGTCTTGTTGGAACACATAAAAAAGGATCCTGATCCAGTAGTGAATAAAGAGAAAACATTGGTAGGAAATTCACAGCGTCTACAGGAGATATTTAAGACTAAAATTAATACACCATAATTCCTCTGGGAATCAGCATGTTCTGTTAAGATCCTATAGAATCTTTGCAGCATATGCAATCACATCTTTGTGTGGCAAAACCAGTAGCATTGCTGATGCTCCAAAACCAGCAAGGAGATCTTTGGAGCAGTGTCAGAAACACAGGAAGAAGTTCAATTCAGGGAGGATATACTGTGCTTCCACTGGTTCTCCTGTAAATGAAGCACACAGCCAGGAAGAAAGTAAGTCTAAAACCTACCTCACATTTGACCTGCTGTTTTAGTCACCTGCCAAAACCAGTGATAAATGCTACAGAACTTGTCACCTTGTTAAAGAGGGTAAGAGCACATACAGAGGCAACCATGGTTCTGCTATTTACAGTCTATTTTATAACTTAGCCTTACTAGGAGGCTTACTAGCCTTTACAAGCTTCATCCGAATCTTCTAGGTAGGAGAATGATGTACAAACTAGGTTAAAGAATTAAACCTAATCTCTTCCCAGTCAAATAACTAAGTAAACAAGTCAGTCAAAATAGTCACAAGAAAAAGAATAACAATTTAGAATTATCAGCAAATATAAAAATAATTTCCCATTTCCTACCTTCTTTTCTGGAAAAGAGGACTGTGTTTTCATCTATCAAAAAAAAATATGGAAAAAACTACGTTTTATTTTCAGGAAAAATAGTATGCAAA